AGCATTTGAAGATTTAGTTGAAGAAGACAATGCTGATCAGTGGCCCATAGCTGAAGTAATAATAAATATATAGCATAATATACATGTTATTTCAAGTGCATACATATGTAATTCGAGTCGAGTTAGATCAATTTAATTTCAACCACTTTCAGATTCACCTAAACGATAACGGGCTTACTCAAATTGACCAAGCACTTCTTCCGTGGATGCAGTTGGATTATGTGGACATTCAAAATAATCCTTTCAGGTACGGTATGAAGTAGAAGGATAGTGTAGTAAAATTATAAGTTTTGTTCTGCACCTCTTGGCGTCATAACCCGACTTGTGTACTTTTCAGATGTGATTGTAACTTGGAATGGATGGTTCTTGAATTGGTTGAAAGGATTCATACATCAACTCCAGCTTTGACATTTGATTTGACGTAAGCCTTACTACCTGAGAATTTCCTATTATTTTGGAATAAAACTAAAATTGATAAATATTACAGTTGTGCGGAGCCGAAGGACATGAAGGGGAAGTCAATCAACACTCTGACAAAGGAAAGGGAACTATTTGGCCGGTGCAGTAGAGGTGCTAATGGAAAGTATGGAAACCTGGTGGCTAACGATTACGACCCCACAGACACTGATCCCATTAAAGCTGCTGGAGTGACAATCTTAGTAATTGGGTGTGTCTTTAATTTTTTTTCTTTCCCCGTATATATAGCGTAATATTTACTTATAACGTGAGATTTTTCAATTTCACAGGATATTGTTAGTGGTTGTTGGACTTTCCATTCTTGGCTTCGCTGTGGTGAAGAGGAGAGCCATCACTCAAGCCTTGATGGCACCATCATCTCAAATTCGCTATGAGCGAGCTGACACGGAAGATGGCTCCGAGTGGAAGTACAGCCAACCTTCGGCAGGCTACAAATGAGCATGACACTGCGTCATATTATTATGACGTGATTTCGCACTTGACATCCTTTACGTCCTTCCTTTCTTGTTGTAATGCATGCATAAAGACTTAATCACTTTGATCACCTTTCAGATCCAATGGATCGTAATTTCGTAATAATTATCGTAATTTTTAATCTTGAATTTTATTTTAAGTTAAATTTTTAAATTTCGTTGAAATGTGACGAGCACGATTCAGTCTTCTAAATGTTTTTATTTTTTATGTGATATAATATATTTAGATATTTCGAATATTTTAACTATGCTGATTTTGTAAATTATAGCTACCATAATATATTGATGACTGTTTATTAATGAAATGAATTTTTACATGAACCAAATTGTGTCATCTATATTTTGTTCATATGAAAGTTGACGAGATATGTGTGTGTACATATGCAATTAAAATTAGTGTGATAAAATTCTCGACGGTTTCATAGTATTATCCGATGGAGTTTGGATGAATGATTTTATTGAATGATTTCAGGAATGAAATATTTGCACAAAGTAAAGATTTATGTGATTGATTGTCCAAACTCAATGAGTTGTTTCAGGAAAAATAACGGTCAGTTAATTTCAATTCGTTAATGCATTGCTGATTTTTTTCATTTAATTATGTTCATCAAGGCTTATTATTGAATAGCACGTTTGATGCCACTGCACAATTGATTAATTAGTAAAAATATGTGGATTTTTTCAATTTCAAAAGTAACACTTCAAGCCAATTCAAGACAGAGATGTACAAATGTGAATTTTGTTCATGTGACATCATATAAATCTCTACTATTCGTATGAAGTCGTACTCTTGGGTCACAAATTATTTGTCAAAGATAATTTTTTAATTCTAGACATTTGTTCCTATAAATGTGCACTAGTTACCATACAATATCGGACATTTATGATAAGCATCTGGGAAAGGGTGACTTGTGCTTGTTAAGAATTTGATAAAGATGAAACGACGTGAAATGAAACAGATGACGATGAGATCAAAGGGCAGTTAGTTACATCAGTAGAACGGAATTGGGAAGTGAACGAGTTGAGGTAAATCACAAAAATCTGTGGTGGATGATTCATCTCTTCCTTGCACTAATCCTAAATGCTACGTGAGCGACATTTACTTGTAACGAGAAATATTGTTCTTCATTAGAAGAAATGTGGACTTGCGTTTTATTTATTTTTGACCAAGGCCGTTTGACTTTATTTTTTTCCTTCAAATATGAGCACTGGAGGACGGTTTAACTACCTATATTTGTATGTATGTACTGATGGATGGATGAATGATTTGAAAGAATAAATTCCAAAATATACGTACATATTTATATATTTATATATGTGGACATGCACATGTAGTTAGTGTTAAATTTAGTGTGTCATGTTTCAATAAAATGTTTGAATTTGTGTCAAAATAAGGAAATACAAATTATTTGTAAATTGGTTAAATGGTTGGTGTTTTGGGCAGTACATATTTCTCAATATTTGGCTTTCCTCTAATCACTTTATTGGCTTTTGATATCGGCACAATTAATGTAATTTCGTTGGCTCCATGGCGACAATTATGTCAATTTTTCCGGTGTGGTTACCAAATTGAGTCAGACAGAATAAAGTCAAAATAAAAACTCCGACGGAAGGAAACTCATGAAATCTTAATATCAATCAACCCCAATGGCATACAATTAAAGTTATAGAATGTTGTTAAAACCAGAGGGCGGATATGTATGTATTTCTAACTTTTTCAAATCAAATCAGATCGCACTAAAACTTCGTATACTGACATCCCATCGAAGCGTGATTTCAAAAATTCAAACATAGTTTTCCATATTTTCCATATTTTAGGGTTTTCGTACATATACATATTTTGATACATATTTTGAGGTTTTTTGCGTACATGCACATATTTTCCTACATATTTGAGCCTTTTTCTAAATGTAAATATTTTGATACATATTTCGAGGTTTTTTATGTCAAAATCTTTTTATCACTTCAAAACGTGACCTTAGTATCCAACGCCACAAACATGACAACTATTTTTATGAATTTACACTAACTAATTTCAACTACGAAATCTTGTAACAAATTTCCCATCTTGTAAATGTCTTGATAATGAATAGCAGATAGCATTCGAAATATTGACAAAATAAAGCAAAACTTTTTCTTCGACTTTTCCACTTAACTCCGTGTAATCCAATTATTAAAATCTTTTTCTTTATTAAGAAGTTAAAGTTTTGTCAAAATTAAATTTTCATGTAAACGACTAGCAAATCCAGTTTACCCCATTTTTCAAGCCAAAAAAATTACCCCTGAAATCTATAAATATAACTAATGCAGCATTATTGGTCACTAGGCGAAGATTAAAATGAAACATTGAATAATTCGTTGATAAAAGTGCTAAAAATTTGAAAGGTTTGGAAAATTAAGCATCAATACAGTAGAAAATTGCAATTGAAAAATATTTTTTATGTGCATATTTTCGAGTTTTTTAAGCACATATTACATACATATTTTGAGGAATTTAAGTACATACATATCCGCCCTATGGTTAAAACACTTTAGAATCTGGAAAGACAACTTTGAAAGGAAAAGGAAAGTATTTAGTATGATTAAATGAATCTGTGATGAAGATCTGTACAAGAAAAGTACTTGAGACATTAAATCCACTAATGTTTTGAGACACATAAAAAAATATATTTCTTGCAATTGGATCAGTTCGTGTATAGAACATGGGATACATATGTATGTACATATGTATATGTAGACGCATATACGCATGCATAAATATGTACTTAGATGAATGGTTCAGTTCAACCCAACCAAAATGCATTTCTTTCCAAGTTATTTTCTGGTAAATGACATTGACTTTATCCTGGATAGCATTTACCAGTTATTATTGTTTATGAGGAGAGGTTAGGTTGAGGAAGTATGAGGTTTGAGAATGTCCCATAAACGGTTGGTTGGTGGTAGTGGTTGACATTTGACTGACATTTCTTCGCCTCTAATGACCACTTTGGGGAGACCAGAGTTTCACTGTACCCCATCATTAGGTCACCTTCTCCTGATCTATCTCTCTCATCAAATCTCAAATATATTAAACTTGCGTGTCTTGTTCCTTTCAAGTCCACTAATGAGACACTTTCATTCACAACGCGGCCAAGTATGCAGTTTTGTTCAAGTGAATACAACAAGTTCTTGGATAGGTTAATAAACTTAATTGTGTGTGATGTCATGATGGTGTTTCTCCTGCGATAGTTTTTTTAAGTATGATATTAATGCTGCATCTCTCGTTCAAAATGTACGTAAGTTATTTCACTATCCTGCCGGAGGAAAAATTATCCAAGTAAACGATGTCTCAAAATCTTGGGACATGTGCACATATACACATACACATAAAATAATTTGCATAAAAGACAACCGAATAACTTTGAGTAAAAATAAACTTAACCGAAACCAATATGGAGGACAAATAACCAAGAAAACCAATTGAGAATATGAATAAATGTATGGAACACGAATCTGGTTGCATGAAAATGCTCAGGAAGAATATCTATCTACGCCTATGTGAATATTACTAAAACTTCAAGTGAAAGAAAGTTCAACATTTTGAATTTTATGGATTCAGATCAAGCATTGATCTGAATGGTGTCTAATATAAAACGAACTTTGGATTGCATGAATCAAACAATCTGTATATAACTAAATTTAGTTTTATTGAGGAATAGCGTTACAAAATCATGTCCCATTCAGCAGATTGAAACTTTTATTCTCAAATTTCACTTGTTCTCACCCCACAAACCGATCCGTACGTACATATGTACGTACATACTTGTATCCATACATAAGCTCGAGTTCTGTGAAGAGAAGAAAGCCGACGAACTGGAGAAAGACGAGGGAACAATCTCTCCACATTCTCTCCTTGGTTGTTAGTAGAGTCAGAATCATCATCATCTGGAAGGGGTATGAATCTGGTGGATGGATGGGGGCTGAGTTGAGTGAAAGTGCTTTGGAGAAAGTGCTCATTATTTGGAGATTTGGGTGGTGATAGTGAGGCGGGGAGGAGGCGGAGTCCCTTTCGTTGTCACGGGCAAGGGCCAATGGGCTTAGTGCACTCTACCATTATCCTGGTAACGGGGCAGTTAACTTATCTACTGTGGGTTACCTCCACTTAGCCCATTTCCTTTTCAAAATCCAAATCTACCCAGCTTATCTCTGTAAGCACGCTCTGTCGCTCTCAAAAACTGGGCACTGGAAGACCCAAGGGCTCAGTCCTGCACCGGACACAAGCCTTTCTAAATCAACACACTTTCACTCTTTTCGTCATGAAGATGTTTCGGAGTGAGAGTGGTAGAGCCTTCGTAGCCACAAAGACGGCTTCTACCAGCAGCGGAATACAGAATATCAGTGGTGCTGATGGTGGTGTTAGTGAAAGTGAAACAACTACTTTGAGACAACAATCCATGAAAAATCACTCTAGCAATTCTACATCATTCTTAATTGACGACATATTATTCCAAAGACCAAAGGTTAATACTAATCACACTTTGATCCTTCCTGTCTTTTGGGGGGAGTTATTTATTTTCTACCGTGTACATGCACAAGTATTTATGCTTGGGGAATCTGAATGTATTTTATTTAGTATACCATAAATTATGTTTAATTTGTAATGTGTATTTCCACATTTGTTTTTCAGAATTTGGCACGTGAGCTACTAGTCTCGAGAGAACGATTTGTTTCCCAACACAACTCAGTAAATGGGAACCTTGATCACCCGTCTCAATTTTCCCCTGTGAAAGGTAACAACGGCGAATTGACATCTTATTCGGCCTTTCTTCACCCCTTCTTCCCAAGACCTGATGTCACCACTCATCCCTTCTTCTTGGCTGCAGCAGGTCAGCACCATCATGTTTTATTTCATTCGATATTTACTTACATGCATAAACCAATCAAAAAATTACTCCTAATATAAAACAACAAATTTTATTCCTATTTTCTGATTGGTTGATTTAATACCTGTCACCTGTTAATATTATATTTGTCACTTAAAGGAAAATTTAGTTAGAAATTCACTCAGAAATAGTATAAAAATGTAATCTGACAAATATTCGAAATATCTTTCCTGAAAATAATGTGCTTGCTGAACAGACTTTTTTATATGCACATATTTACATGTCGCTATTAGCCGGGTGCAAGTTGATATTTCGCTGTATCCATATAATGGTTCTTCAACTATTTAATCGAGCCTTATTCTATTCAAAGGTTATTCTTATTCTATTCTCTGTCCATATTCACAAAGCGGAACACATTACGTTCCGTTTTGGGACTAATCTTCCACCATAATATGCGATGGGAGGATGGGGAAGTAAAAGGTCGCTCATTCTTTTTTTTACCTCATGATTTTCATAGTTTTCCGTATATGTTGTTAGTTTAGTTTCAGTTGATGCAGCTACACACATGCATACATATCAGTTTGAACTGCATTTAGTCCTCAACTTTCGTAATATTAGCAAAATAACGCACTTTTGTTATTGGGAACAAAAAGAAGCACAACATTTATAAGTAGCTGCTTATTACACATTGTTCCAGAACTGTGAAGTCATAAGAACTTATTATTTGTAATTATTATTACACAATTCATTAAAAAAGGATTGACACTGTCACTCATGGATTGTGTTTAGATATCGAATTACATCATCATTATCCGCAATCGTAATCCTTCCTGACTGCATCCATTCATCGCATACAATTACGATGACCATTTTCATCCTTTTGAACTCATGGTTACATGGTTGGTTGATGTTTGGATTCCGGGATTATTTTAGTCTTGATATGCGAAGTGACAGGGATTTCCACCATGCAGGCACTAATTATGACGTGTATAAAATTTGGGAACGCATCTTATTACACCCAATTAGACAAGGGGAGCAGCCTTAAGTACCGTCATCACCACACAATAATATTTCTCGCTTCATTACAAATGAGAGGTCTATCGCTCTTGGTTTTCAATTTAGACAAGCCGAGTTAGAACAATTTAGATTTGACACCCATACATTGTCATGTATCGAAGGATATGAGCATTCTGTTCTCATGTCATTAAATATTATTATGTAACCCGTGCGTGGATATAATTCTGCACATTACTCATTGTGAATAATTGTGATGCGAGAATTGAGTGACATTCGATACTCATGGAAAAACATATGTGTGTACTGAACTAAGCCCAGAAATGTCCAAGTGACAATGAGACGAGGCGAGATGAGACATGGAAAAAGTAAATAAAACTATACATCTCATTTTGTTCTCAGGTCTCCCATTCAGCTCCCTTTTTAGTGGTGGTGACCCAGGAGGAAAGCATTGTCGTCGGAGGAAAGCTCGCACCGTATTCAGTGATCAGCAATTGAACGGATTGGAGAAACGATTCGAGGCGCAAAGATACTTGAGCACCCCGGAAAGGATCGAGCTGGCCAATGCTCTCAATCTATCCGAAACTCAGGTATAGCTAATTAGTCCTCCTGCTACAAATATTATGCTATTTACCAATTGCTTGATAATACTTGGAATAAACATGATTAAACATTATTAATTAGCATTAACTCTATTTGTGCAGGTCAAGACATGGTTTCAAAACCGGAGGATGAAGCACAAGAAGCAGTCCCGGAAGGGTCTCACGTCTGACGGAGGTGGTTCAACTGGAGGGGGAGGAGGGAAGAAGGCAACTGGAGATGACTCGGCTGGAGATCCTGTCGCTGGTGGTGGTGGAGGTGTGAAGTGGTTCCGTTCTCTCCCTTTTCACACCTGCTCTTGGACTCTCCCTACTCATTTGCTTATCTTGCCTTCTTTTCCACTAGAAATTATGGTTCCCTGCAAAACCTCATTTCAACATTAGTCTCACTAAAAATGCTATCCGATCCTCTCATTCCTTCCTGATTACGATAGATGAAGCACAATTTACTTCCACCATTTCAAATTCTTCTTCGTTCCAGAGCTGCTGCCCATGGACTTTTCTCAACGTGGAGGAATGTCGAAAAGTTTTTCCGCCATGGTTGACCCCCATTCCCAACTGGACGAGTATGAGAAGCCCTCCCCCCACAACAGCAGGAAACGGTTTCCTTCGCTGGGACGGTCCTCGTACAACAGTTACGAGGAGGACGAGGATGGTGACGAAGAAATGATGAGTGAGATGGAGGACGAGGACGAAATTGACATTGTTTCCTCCGAGGATGCCCCCACCACCGCCACGCTCGGTCATCATGCAATGGTGTCGCACAACAACAATCCGACCCTCTTTGCCCAACATCACCCTCTTGCCCTTCTCTAAGTGGGGACTTGACCTTAGTTACGTTCGTTAATTCGTGAAGGGAAGGGAGTAATAATGAGTATGATGCAGTATTATTAGTCGTGTAGATTGTCGTCGTTACTCGTTTTAGTCAGTATTGTTTGTGTGTGATGTGATATGCATTTAGTCACTTGGAAGGATGGGAAATGATAAAATCTCTTCTTGTCATTGTACTCATATGATACCGAATTAAAAGAATGATAAGATGTTACGATAATAAAGATAGTTTGACGTTTATTGCAGAAAAGTTGTTCACAAGTCGGACTTAATTATTCACATCTGGATGGCTACATTGTATTGTATTATGCCATGTGTGAGTGGGCACATGTAATGAAAGGGTAGAATTTTCTATGGGAAATTGTAACATTAGGGCATGCGATAGCAAATCATTTCATAACTGCTAGTTTCGTAATTTGTAATGAAAGGTAGCATTTGTTTGTCGATTGTCATCTCCGCTTAAGGATCACTACGAAGGGCATCTTGACACAATACTTTGCATTGATGTACTCGTATGATGAAGTGAAAGGCTCGAGAGAAATGTATAAGTAGGAATATTAAATATTTGAAATAGATCCATTACAGATGTAGTCCACGCCTATTTTTAATATTTACTTACCAATGCCTGGAAAACTATTCAAATGGCCATTTAATTGTTATTGCATTTACCATCTTCAAACGTTCTTTGATAACAAGTGATTGAAAAAAATCTAGATATAAGATTGTAAAATATTCCATTTATGAAACAATAATCTGGACCAAGAAGCAGTCACACATGTAAAAAGTAACTACGTATGTGTAGATGCCCATCCGCAGCCGACTAATATTAATTTATATGTGCTTTGAAAAATGTCACATCCGATTTCACACCCGGATTAATTGAATCTGTGATGTTCGACAAGAGAGGCGAAATGAGATTGGAAGAAATGGCATTTGATTTGATGAAATTATTGGCTCCATTCCTGGTGGATTTAGGGGATTAGGATTGAGTTAAGGCTTTGCTTATGGGTCCACAGCCCCGTGGGGATGTAAATAAGAGGAGAGACAACAATGACGAGAGTAATGAAAGTAAAAGCGGTGGAAAATGAACTGATAATGCGGGTTGATTGGAGAGATTGGCTCTCGGAAGGAAGCAATAATAACTCCACAATATGCTCCTCTCGCAAACTTATTAAATTATCTCTGAATTACCTCTGTCCCTGCTGCTCATTCCTCTCCCCCGTGAAGGCAGGCATCCATCCATCCAAAACTACCCTCCCGTGTCAACCCGGGTACCAGGCGCCCTGTTTTCCGCTTCCGACGTGACTTGTGCACCCACGGGCAGGGGCACCCAGAGAGTGAATGCAATAATGAAGTAATTTGGTCTTGAATGGAGTTTTATGATGAGATGACAAGTGCAATTAAGCAGGTACGTACACATACTAGAGACCCACGGGGACCCTGTACTTTGTGCACTTACTTTATTTTGTTTGTAATAGAGAGAAGAAAAGGAAAAGTTCAAAGGCATGCATTATTATTCTGCTCTTTCAGCCATCCGATTTCTCATCTGAAACCAACTTCCTACACACAATATACAACATATATATACGGATAATCTCCATATTCAACCCTAATTAAATTCTTATTACTTCTCATTCAACTCGGTTAAATAACCAAAACACTCCTTTACTCTACGTTATCAAACCTAACCAACTCCGGATCCAATATTTGAAAGCAAATTCTTATCATGCCATGGAACCTTTACATATGTACATATATTTCCATGATAAATAAAAGCGTATGCAAAATTTCATCTCATAAACAAGTTTGTCTCATCTATTCAGATTCACGTAAAATTGGGCATATGGATTTCTGGAGATTTTACACGTACGACTTGACTTCACTTCAACTTCAAGTATTAAAAGACTTAATCAATCACTCGGAACTGGGGACTACTTAAATATTTGAGTCCAAATTGCTACGAAAACAAAGTTTTAATCCTGAATTTCCTAGTCTGCTGGTAGATACATACATATATCATATGTATGTATATACTTATATCTATAGGGGCGGGGAGGAAGGGATTGAATTCCCCAAGGATCAAGTGATTCGTCGATTTAAAAATAAATCCTACTTACATACATCGAATGGTTCGTTCGTTGGTTCGTTGGTCCAACAATGCGAGGCCTTTCTTTTTACTGAGCATTCATGCATCACGGTGAGGATGCACTAACAGACTTTAATCAGAATGAAGGTGATAAATATTTGCAGAATTTTTAAACAAAATGCACATGAATTTGATTTTGCATGTTTGAACGGTTTAGAGATGATGTAATGCCATGTTAGTTGGTAAGTAGTTGGTAATTGGACGGAGAAAAGGCTGTTTTGCAATTACGGAGCAAAAGTTCGACTTGCTTAAGCCGATTTACTTCCATAAGTCCCTCCTGGCAGTACACCAAGTTTATTTTGTTTTTTCTTATACTGCACCCTTACGCAATATCTTATTAACTCTGCGCACATAAGTAAATCCAGCCTCGTATAAACCTCCCATTTGAACAAATGACTTGAAGCAAAAATATGACGATTTTGTACAAGTTTTATACTACATAGTATCTGCATATAATTGTTACATTTTATTTTCCTACTCGATATAATATATGTTTATTGTTTATATACTTGTGGTTCACAACATCATTTTACGTAAATCGTTATTCATGTAGCAAAGCTGAACACGAATTTAGCGGTTATAATAGGTACATAGTTATATGTTAATAAGTTTCAGTTACAGTTAGGCAATGTATGTACAATCTTATGTATAGTAAGTAATATAAGGTTACTAAAAACTAGGGATATAGTAAAATTAAAAAAGATGAATGAAGATTTATATGAAAAAGTATAGAAAACAAGTTTTAATGTGTTTCTCGCTGCTTTTTACCACTCCAATTCTCCAGGAATGTATTTGTCAATCAACTTTTGGTAGTATGGTTTAAGTGCAACAATGTCCGGGATTTCGTGGCTCTTGGTGTAAAGGTCGTACTTGCTGCAATGATAAACAATGTAGAATTGTTTGTTTAGTTATAATTATGCTATGCAAAATGCATTAAACTTACTTGAATTCGCGAATCCAAGGAAGCATTTCCAAATCCTTCTTATCGCACAGATGATGATAATCTCCACCAGAGTGCCATGGGTAAAATGAATGAAATCTGTTGGTAATAAAAATTGAATTACCTAAACAAAATGTATGATTTTTTGTGCTTAACACTGTAGTTATGAATTACCTTATCATGTACAAGGCTTGTTCCGGAAGTGTTGTCTTGTTGTGGACCAATACTCTGTACAAAAACTCGTCGTGACCCCATGACATCGTCACATTGGAAAGCCCACAATGTTCTTCATAAATTCCGAATTTGGTACTGTAAAGATAATAATGTCATAATGTATTCACTTATGTAAGAAATTACGCTCACGATGCGGTATGCGGAAAGGCGAAGGAAACAAAGAGGAAAATGTCGAGCTTGGGGGGCTCTCTCGCAACAAAGAACACCACTTTTCACCATCTACGAAGGCCAGTTCGTGCTAACCAGAGAGATGGCTCAGCTCGGCATTTCGATAAGACTGTGTCAACGAGGTTGGGTTAGGTTAGGTTACCCCAAACACGCATCGTTACAAATTGTTTGAAGTTTGGACTTTGAGATGAAATAATTAGCTTTTCATGGTATTTATTTATGACTTACTTGTATCGCTCGTCGTATGTGTCTGGATTGTTGACAAAGCTGGTGTCTCGATAAACAATAGACGGGGCATGTTGACACCCAACAGGGAATGTGTCACCTACGACAGCCCATTGTGGCTCATCATAAAAAGCCATGACCTGTTGCATAAAAATAATGGAATTATTATCAATTATGATGAATCAAGATGAAGCGATCGAGTTCTATTTTGATGTCCCTTTTTATATCAAGTACCTTGCCAAGATCGTGGATAAGACCAGTCAGGTGAAACCAATCGTCATCGGGATGCTCGAGGCGAATTCGTTCAGCAGTTTGGAAAGCATGCACTATGTTCGGAATAGAGTTGTCAGGATCACTTTCATCGACGAGGTTGTTCAATTTCTCCAATGCGTCCATAATCCCGGACTGTAATTAAAGTAATGAAAATGGCACATTTATTTATTTATTTATCGACTGATGCAGCGAAAAGAAGTATATTTAGCAAGTACATTCTTGCAATGCAACATATAAAGAGATAAGGCAAGCAGGTTATCATTGTGAAGAGGTCAAGAAAGGATGACGCAATTTTATACGTAACATTTTAATTGAGTAGGGCAGTTGGATGCAATTTTCATCCATGTGCAACCACCACCACCAAATATCTAAGTAAGCGATCACTCAAGTTGTGTTTATAAATTGTCCCCAGCATAGTCCAATATATGCAGCATCATATTATCTCATCTTGTGGTGTGTGGCGATAGAATGACAGACTTTTATGCCTTGGTTGAAATATTACCTCTCCAACAACTCACATTTGTTACCAGCCTCATGAATACTATCTTCAACTCACTTCCAGTCTTACTTTCAATGTCAACATCCCGTGCATTAAATTTCTGAACTTTAGTAGTAAGCCTAACCCAAGTCGAAAATACTAAAGTTTGAACAATTTTTACATGTAATTATTTTGTACAGATTTTGAATGGACTTTGGCCTTTTTCTATATTCTCCAGCCGACACATTTAAATTTCAACCTTTGTTGTTCGTTATTTTTCTAGTGTTTTTATTACCTGACCTGTAATTTACTTTACAACCGAAATTATATTGTGGAAACTAGTGCGTCCAAAATGCAGTATGTAGTTGTAAAATATTCTACCATGGTCATGAATAGCAAACAATATAAGCAAAAATAAATAAGTGAAAATGTAGATGCTAAAAGTTGATAGAATGATAATGGAAAACAAACCTTGAATGTACTGAAACTTGTCCACTGCTGGATCCTGTCCGTTACGAAGTGCATCGTTTGATTTGTATGCATCTCAAGATAAGTCTTTCGTACTCTTTCCTTGATAGGATTATTTTCATCTATAGAGTAATCGCGGAAGCATTCCAAAGCCTTTGCTGCAAATTTTAGTTCGGGCCTTAGGTGCTCGCTGGGATCGATGAGGTTCACGATTGACAACTGCAACGTACACATACAGAGACCATCAAAATAGTAAAAGGTGGATTGAATTGAGAAAACAGAGTTGCGACATTTATTTTTCATGAGAATTACATCTTCTAAAGCCTGGTATTGTAACACTTCTTCATGGAGAGCAAGGAAATGCAAGAGAAAAAACATATAACGTACAACAAACTAAACTACATTGATACTACATGTGCACATGTATTCTCATAACCCGAGGAGTATATGTATACTCGGGTATATATGTAATGATTATACGTGTTACATATATTTTAAAATATTTTGTATTTAAAGATCTTGCTCATATCTGGAAGTTGCATTGTGTTACATAAGAGGCTTAATCGGTGTTGGTCAACCTCTAGGAAATATTTTTTGTCGTTAAAAATAGTGGACTCTACTTACCGGTTGGCCTATTCCAGACGGCATTTTAACAGCGAGGAGAAAGTTGAGACGGGGTCGGTGAGGTAGGATTTGTCTTCTTCTTCTTCTGATGGGGAAGGATACTTCGTCAATTATTGACAAGTGGTGGAGGTGGTTTGATCGGGATGAAAGCTCTGACTTGGCTTCGTTTCTTCTTCCACCCGGGTAATACTTTCTACCGAAATAGTTGCTAAATGTTTAAGTTGGGAGAGATTACTGCCACTACCAAGTTCTGTAATGGTCGAGAATTGCTCTGGTTGTCAATCCTGGAGTGAGAGCGTATTTATAGGCCCGTATAGTCACCTTAATCTCCCAATTAGGTAGTAGACGATGATACGTACGAACCGTGGGGCCGTGTCAACTAACGTCACTAAAAAAAGTCATAATCCCACATAAGCACCACACGCAACTGACACAGGCAGCTAGGCCGAGTCGATACAATGACAGACAGACCATCAATATTGGCTTGCAGTATTGAGCCAGAAAAGCTAATTACATATGTATGCATATTATACTTGAGCTGGTGTATGTGACCAATAAACTAACCCAAAAGTTAACAGGGATTATATTTCAATTACAGTGAATTTTTAGCCAGTTTTTAACGTACGCCCGGTACTTACTACACTGAGGTAAATCATGTATGTAGGCGGATAATAAGTAAATAATCCCAGAAAATCTAAATCTTCGTATTTGATTTTCTAATTTTATGATACGTTTGGGATTAAAAATTGCACGAGTTGTATAACATATCATGGAAATTAATTCCAAGTCAAATATAAGTTTCATAATGGTTTTATTTAATGAGTCATGAAAGCGTTACACAAGAATCATTTCTGAATGCATGTATAGGATCATGTGACAGGTGACCTTTTTTTCGAAAATCACTTCCTACCCAGTTTTACCAATGATTTTGCGTATTACTTATTTCGATTTGAATTTCCGCCTTTTCAACAAACTCTACAACTTGTCAAGCAATTGATTGAAAGTTTAGATATAAAGTTTTTGTTGTACTAATTAAAAGATTACATTATGAGTTGATTAGGGTGATTGAAAGGGGTACTATTTAGGTACATACGTGCATACATCCATACATTCACGTATGCATATTGGCGTACTCGTTTCTTGTTTTATGTGATGTGATGTAACGCGGCGTGTCAAAAGTTATCCAGATAAAATTAATCCCAGTAATTAATGAATTGATGAACTATATTTATTCTCCGACGTTTGAATCTTGACGACATTGGCAGAGTTGACCCCGACCCCTGCAAACGCAACTTGGTAAGGTTATTGAGGTTAAATGAGAATAATTAGAGAGCGTGTGCAAAATTACTGGTCTGAATTGGTTAAGGAAAGTAGTTGACGCCGGCTGTTGAATAATTTTTACTACGTGTGATTTTGACGATTAGAGGTACTATTGATAAATAGTTGACTTTTCATTTATTGGAGATTTAAGAGAAGAGGTCGATAAATGATGAGGTGTGAGGCTGCCGATCATTGACATTCAGATTAGTCGGTACTTTTCATCTCATTTCCTATCATGGACTTAATCTCTATTAATTTGATCATTAAATTTAGAGCATTTACCATTGTTTGATTTGGTATGGAACTGCGAAATTGTTTTAAATCAAGCTTCATATTATCAAGTTTGCGAGGCATGTACAAAAGTACAAATACATACGTGACATAATAATACATTATACATTTCCAGTAGGCAGCATAAAGTTATTCAAACAATTAGTGCTTATATGCATTAAATTATGCTCAATAATCCGCCCTTTGCCAGCTTTCAACTAGATGAATATTACATTTCGGATTCATGCAGTATGTTCAGAAAAGCTTATCTACATATCCTCATTTTTTTCATTGTCATATATGCATAATTTCGAGTCATGGATTCAATTTGCATGATAAGAATGTGCAAACTCCATCTAAAATTAACTCAAGATTGTGAGTATCTGGGTTAATTTATCTAGAAGCTTATGTGACAATTTTCTTTGCTCCTAGTGTAAGATATATATTACACATATACAGCAAACGCATGTATCATTGAGACTACCAGTAAATAATATTAAAATGGATTATCTTATCATGAGAACGTGTAGCTTAATATAGTTTGACGACCAAAAGTTGAGTCGTTGTTAATGACCTGATAAGAAAGTATACAGAGTGACACACATTATGGCGTAGAGTATACCGATGATTTACTGATTGCAAGAAATTAGACATACTTTTTGCAATCATGATTGGAAATGCGCAGTTTAATTAATTACTGATTTCCTGGAGTCTATTTTTATATATGTAGAAGTTACACTTTGCGACATTTGTCAAGCAAAAAAAATGAGCCAATGTTACATGTGCAGCTCATCGGTTCAAGGTATATGAAGAATTTGATAATAAAGTTGAATAAAATCAATAAATTTTGTACATTTCAGTTTTATCCTTGTCGCCAACCAATTTATGAAAATGTTTTATGTTGTCATTCCTCACTGACTGACTGACTGGAGGACGGAGGGGGAGCAGGCAGTGTGGGGTGGCCGGGTATTTTAAACTAGGTCATAAAACAGAGAGGAAGGAAGCAGTTGTTCAAATTGTGTCGTCTCCTCTTTTTTCTTGGAGCAAATTCCTTCTTTGAGATCCAGCCGAGGAGCCAGTGAAGGGAAAAGAGATGAAACCTGTTGTAATGCATAATTGAGTGGTGGATTTTTCATTCCTATCTGTTCACAACTCACTCACCGGTTGAGTGGCTCGTTCGGTTGGTCGTCCTGGTTTCTCTAAGGTGACTCGCTCACTCTCCAAGTCAGTCCAATCCAAAAATTTTAAAAAAGTTGGGAGAAATGTAAAGTTCGCCATTCTGTACCTTTTGCTAGCTTCTGTACTATTTGTGCCGTCTTAAAAAGGTTGCGTGTTGTAGTATATGTATTGCGCTGCTTGTAAGCAAGTATGTATGTGCATTTTATGCTTTGCTGCTCGACTATGTAGAAATGAAGCCATCATCCGTATTTCAACAAGTCCCTTTAATTTGCATCCATGTATAGCTTGCTAGTTGGATGTGACCCCAAAATTCATATGGAGCTGCTGTATGTATGTGCTTTTTTTCTGGTGTAGAATTTGAATGTGTGACTTGGTTTTCAGTTGAAATTGATGCATTCAACCTACGACAAATGTCCAATTTTTACCTTTCTTCCGTCACCACAACCATTCATTCGTATTTTATAACGTGGACTCGCCGGTCTCTTCCGTACATGTTGTGAGGTATGCGTATATACATATGCTGTATGTATCAAAAGGTTAATCAAAAGAACCACAAAACCGGCCAAGTAAAGTCATCCTGAATTTCTGACTTGAATCCAGTGAGTCCAGTCGAGCGGAAGGCAAAATTCTTCAAAGACCTACAAAACCACAATTTGCATCACAAGACCAGGCGCAGGAATCATTGCGACAATCCACATGCATGTATGTAATGTATGGCCACATTGGGAGATAAACCATTTCAAGGAAAACCAATGTATACTTACATATATGTAATGTAGTATATGTACGTGGTGAATCTCGTGCGAATCTCATACGACTACATACATACACACTAATACACAGTATGTGCTGGGTGAACTACTTTCAAATTTCAATAATAATGTCTGGAGTTTAAGAAATCTCAAGTTTGAAAAATTGTTGCAAATGTCATGTTTAACCCCACCTGAAATTTTTGCAATATCATCTAGGAAAGTTAGAAGATCGAAATGGTTTAGAAAAGGTTATAAACAATATTTCAGTTTTGGTGAAACATAGTCGAATAGATTTATTGGGTTTTATCTGTAAATTCGCATTTCTTGAAGTGATATTTTACTCTTCTGTGAGACACATTGCTTTTTTGGAGATGAAAACTAATGTCTCAAGAATAAAGTTTGCTCAATATATTTACACATGTTTTACTTCCGTCAACAAATCCAAATTCCAATAATGTACCCAGTCAGTCACATTCACCCCAGCACTCAAGTACTCTGCAATCCATTTACCATATACATAAATCCCATCAAGAACCGCACACCTTTCGCACATGTGTAATATGTAGTAGGATTAATGGTAAAATCACTTGGTAAGGGTTGGCTTGGCTGTGGAAGGATTTTGCCTGATTAGTTTTCATAAAATTTTAACTGACCGTCTGCTTATTCCTAAATTTTGAATCGGTGAATTTTTGTAGAAAATAGTAAAAGTGGTCTCATGTTGGTCGGTTTGATTGAATACTTCAAAGTTAATATGATAAGGATGTCAGTTTAATCCAAGGCTGGATGCAACACATTAGATTAGAAGAAACGAGATTTTATTAATAATTACATACAAACATTTCTACATATAAGCGGAAAGCGAAACATAGGATTGAAAGATCATTAAATACAATGTAAAATTATACACTAACTATTATGTATGTGTGTGTTTATAAAGAATAAGATATTTTCTTTCTACATAAGACCCTACTAAACGTATGAATTGGTATTGGTATTCCATTCCACACCCCTTTCTTTCCTAAAAACATTATTATTGCAATCACCTGTTTCTGGACAGATCACTGTCAACCGAAATTAATTAATTCTTCTTCCAATATTCACAACTTGATTAATTTTAACATTTAAGTTACCCAAACATGATTTGTTTGTACTTATTAGAGCAGGCGATAAAATAATTGGTGGGCATCTACTTACAAGAGTCCTCGAAAAGCGATATGTATTTCAGTGACATAAGGACACAAGTTTCTTCGTCTTCTTGAACGCGCTACATATTAATACATATGTATATTCACCAAGTACCTGGAACGTGGATCAACCAACACTTAATATTAATTTTCTTATGCCTAATTAGTAATTGCCGCGTATTATCCCTTGATGTCGGTTGGATAATAGCTCGTTACAAAGCTGTCTTTTCAATTTCATTTTTGCCACAAATATAGTTATACCAGCTGAGGAATATCGTAGGCTAAGGTTCAACTCGAAATTTCAAATTAGTGAGGATTGCTTTATTACTGGGGAAATGCATTATTTCATTGGGCAAAAAGTGAGCAATTTAATGAAAAATAATTGGATTTAAAAGCTTAATGGGGTAAAGAAGAGTGGTAGATATTAAGGAAATGAACAAAGTTTTCTACTACCATTCTCTCTGGCACTGCAGCAATTGCGTGAGCTTTTCATATGAAACCAACTTTCTTTCGGGGGATTCAATGCTACAAAACGGGTTTGCCAACTCAGTCCTTGCCTCAACAATTGTATTTTCGTGCTTTATTGCTTCCAGAACGAGAAAACCATATCCCTTTATAGAATTAAGGGTTCTTCATTCGGTGATTTCGAAAATGTTGACTGTGTCAAAATGAAAGCATGTCTAAAAAACCTCTAGTGGACAAGAAGTAACATAGTTTATACTTTAAAATAAAATATGGACATATGTACGTATACATTTATCCATTATTTTTATAGGTTGTGTATGGCCTCATAAGATATTGTGTATATGTAAGCCTACTGTTTACTCGTTTTGCAAATTGTAGAAGTCATACACGTAAGATTCGCACTTTAATTAGAATCTCATACATACATATGTGTATACACGCATATATGTATATGTGTACATATATTCTGTAGTTAAAACGATGCGACAACCAGCTTCACCCCAAAAAAGAGTTTTGTGATACCACAATAGTACGTGTAAGTAAATGCGTCCCGTTTGGAGCTTGACTGTGGAGCATGAGATTTATGTGGAGGAGAAGTGAGACACATGGTAATTTCATTTAATGGGTGAGCACCATAAGCAGGATTAACAGCACAACGTTTGTCCCCTTCCATGCAGTTGGGTAGATGCAGCCTCCACGAACTGAAATGCAATCAAATTTACATTTCCACATTTCATAAGTTAAGAAATAATAATATCTAATGAAAGTTATTGCATTAAAAGCTTAAACATTACAAACAGAGTCTGTTGCGACAAGAATGGAGGCAGTAGGAATCAGACTATAATTCTAGCCCGGGCTCCCCTATCCCTGGCCCGGGCTACTTGCATTACGAGATAGGCGGTAGCCCGGGCTAGAATTATAGTCTGGTAGGAATACGTAAAAAATGATTTCTCACTTTGAACAAGCGCTTCTCCTCTATACAATGACCCCAATCTCTCGTGAACTTGTTGGTGATAATGGGGGAATCCTCCAGGTCCATCATCCACCTCGTTGAAGCTGTGTTGATTTTGGTTGATATTAATCCTGTTATTGTTTTTGGGGTTATGACCAGAATCCTTATTTCCACTCTTGCTGAACTTTGTAGAATTTTTGTGATCAATATTTTTTTCATCCCCATCCTGCCAAAACAAGGGGAAAATTCGGGCGACACATCGTATCTTGGCTGTGCCCTTGGATCCAAAATGAGTGGGGGTGAGTTCCAGATGAAGCCGATGTGAAGTGGGACGTATCAAATTATGCCCGTTGTTATTGTTGTTGTTGTTGTGGTGGGATGTGATTGTCAGATGCTTGCCACTCCCACCGTGAGATGATGGAAGCAGTTCCACACTCCCGTCATAATGCGGGGGATCGGTTTGACCCATCACCTAGAAGGTCAAATAGTGATTATTGTACGTTATTCTACAAGTATTGCATACATAGATTCGGTGGCTGCACAAAGAACATTTTGATTTTGGAGTATTTATTTTGCAATGTGCACATGTACCTCTTTTTGCAGGTAAATGTGTGTGGAGTTTGTAGCATTTATTTATCTTTAGAAAGGCTCTCGAGTGAAATTCCAACACTCGACACCCATTCTATTTTAAACGATGTGCCTGTTGAACCCACTGCATTACTACATATGTACACGAGAGAAAGCTAGACCCTGTTCCCATCCCACCGCTGGTAGTAGAAAGTGGAATGTTATGGATGGTGGGGGTGATGACGATGATGTTGTCTGAATACTGTATATAATACTCTATCAAGCGATAAGGAAGACCAGAAAAAAATGTTTGTAGTCAGTGAATGTGATGTGTTAGCGTTGTAGCTTCACACCATTTTTGAGAGTTGATTTCAGTCTAGGTTATTTTGTTGCAGCCTTTGTGGAGGTAATGGAATTTTTATAATTCAGTCGTGGTCTCTCTCTCATGTCCCATCTCCAATGCAAATAAATGGACCCTCAAAGCCCCAATTCTTTGACTCTTTTTTTTTTTACTTTGGCTTGAGGGGAAATACTCACTTTCCTCCACACACACACACAACAACAGAATACTCATGAAATGGAATGAAATAACCAAATACATCCAATTTACACACTGTATTCTAACTATCAGCACCAACCCTATCAACAAACCAGCCAGGCATTCCCCTTATGCAATGGGAATTCTTTCTGCGTCTCACACAAGAGGAGGAAAGGAGGAAAAGAAAATTGAATTGAATTTGAATTATAAATTTATAGCAGGGACTCTACACGCTATGGACCCCTTGAAGAATTAAGGTGTCATTTAGGAGGTGATTCAATTATGAACGACATTACCAAAACGAATAGAATGAATGGTTCACTTTTACTTAAATTATCATCGTAAACTTGCTTGACACTTACAATGGCATTCATACATATATGTAACATAATAGCGGATGACAGGGAATCGCGTATTATTGTAAATTTTCATTTTTTATTTGAATAAATACTAAGCAATTTTAAATTGGGCATCAAAATCATGCCCATGTAGTGTGGCTTATCTAACGTGATATATGCTGAAAGTGTTCTTTGCGCCAATAAATGTGAATTGGATTTGCTAAATCGGGCAGTTTTGTGGGAAATATGTTACATCTAAATCCAAGTGGAAAGAGGGAGAAAGTTAAGCCGTAGATCACATAAATCAACACAATGGCTGGCCGGGCTAAGCCAAACCATCGCCTATTACCTCCATCATTTCATCTGTTCAATCAAAATCAGTCTAGATTCAAGTTCTAGATACAGAAAAAATGTGAGAGTCTGAACATAAAAACTTGATGGATAAAGTAGTACGCCCACTTATACAATTTGATCACTTATTGTAGGTCAACTTGCACTGGTGGAAACATTTGTTATTGCATGTATGTATTCTGTTTAGATTCTGCATGTGTATATATTTATTTAGTGTTTTATTCTACTTGTATTAATTTGAAATATTTGATGAAGATCTTACAGGCATATCATTGATGTACCAGGATAATTTCGCAGGTGGGAACGATTTTGATGAAGTACAGTTGAGCTGAAATCAAATGAGGAACGTCACATGTCCAAACAGGTATACGTACATATGTGCATAATGGAATAGACTTCAAACACCAGCAAAATTTTTACCTCGAGGATATCACCTACTTCATATTCATCCCGAAGATTTCCTGTGATTTGTGGCCCTTCCTTGGGTAAATCTGCAAATATTCACATCCGCCAATGGTCAATAGTCATTTTGGGAAAATCGATATTTCTCAAGTCCGACATACATACATATGTACACAGATGCGTGCTGAATCGGATGCACTAATCTAACAATACCACACACAAGTCGTTTTGCAAGTTTTCCAGGTAGCTAGCAGATTTTAGAGGTACGAGATCGATCACCTCACACTTGAAACAGTTCGTAATGTTGGTAACAAATCACATATATACGTATTTACATACATGTGTACATATGTATGCACGAGGATAAAATTTTCCATGTTGTGGTGCGTAAATATAGATATATCTAGATCTTTTTATTAAAAAGAAATAACGTACAAACCACAGTCATATGACTTTCACCCATAAAGGATGCGAAAGAAGGAGCTTCTGCGGACACTGTGAAAATAAGTATGCATGTTGTTATCAAAAGGATATTAGACAATAATAAATTTATAATTAAGCTAAATTACTAACCCTCGCATTTATACACCTACAATACAAACCAAAATTAAGTATTATCCTGTTTGTTTTTACTGAATTGCGATTACAATTACTTCGTATTTAAGTACATATGCAAGTTACCCCTGTTGAACGAACTCCCACAGATTTCAATACAACCACCTCAGATGTTGAACGTATTGTCTGAAAGCAAATCAGTTGCAGATAACTTTAAAATACTGTCATGTAAATATCTAGCATTACGTATGAAACTCACATCAACGTGCACTCCAGGAACAATGGGATGTGTGTGAATAGCAGGATGGAAGCGTGGAACGTATCTGAAAAACTCTTCATTGTCTTTGTACCATTTCACGGCGTACCTATGCGAAATATAACAGAGCACATCAATTTGTGAATTTTTGCTACACATGTCATAAAAGAAGGACGTGTGGTGACGTGGATAAATATAACGATATTACAAATTTGAAATATACGTACAACCGATCTCTCTGAAGATGGAATTGGCATTTCAGTTCTGCTGCCTCACCTACACGCTTATAAGCCGGAACTTCCACACGGTACAGCTCCAGACATTCGGCTACTATCAAAACAAAAATTTAAAGTAGGAGATGATTACTAATTGAAAATCAATATGGGAAGCACACCCCATCCTTTAGCATTATCATGACTGGCTAAAGTCACTTAATACCATTTCCCCTCCTATCTCCAAAAGAAATGAATGACACTTCAATTCTCAATAGGCTCCGCAATGAACTAAAGACTATGTAGATATGTGCTAATATATCATCGCTACCTGTGACTCTGAACACTTTTTTGAGCATTTATGTACATCTACGCTCATGAATGATGTTGGGATTAATCAACTTGAGGAGATATACTCGTTGGCAAATGTTACTTGAACGGAAGAAACTCGAAGAAAGGTTACCACATCCCTGTTTACTCGCAGCACAATCATTTAAAAAATTGAGATATATATGTTGCTTTATTTCAATCGATATAATATATTTTCTGTGACAATGATACGCGCTACTTATACTACTAGATAAATAAACATTTTCTAGTCAAGGAGCTTATACTTAGAGATTTGACGTTGGAAATTATGAACATAAAAACTCTGAAAGATAACAGGTACATGAATGCATCTATATGTACATATGTATATATGCATACATGTATAGCTCTCAATTTCGGCGCTCAATTCTCGTAAGTTACTACATAGTTAAAGTAAGTAGTAGGTGGTTAGTTAGTTCATTCATAGCAGATAGTTAGAACGATGATGATGATGACGGTGGTTGTGTGAAGATATTCATTGAGTCATTCATTGACATGTCCTTAAAGAAGAGAGAGAGAGAGAGGAGAAAGCTCTTTGGAAGTTAATCGACTGGAACTCATCTCCAGAAATGCTACACCACAACCAGCCAACTAAATTCACCTTATCATCTCCCTTTCTATTCAATTACGCCCAACATATCAAGTAACCAACTGATGACTTTATTATAATACTTAAGGAGCACCTTGGAATATTTAATTTGACATTGAATAATTTGCGGCATATTAGTATTTAGCCGAGTAATATTTCTTGTATTCCAAATTTAAATTTTTTATTTGATTTGTAATTTTGTTAAAAAAGTATGCATATCTAATTTTACCACCCCTACACAAAAAGTAATGTATATTTATGTATCTATGTATGTACATATACAACGACTGCATGCAAGTATACGCATTTCCTTTGCACATTCCATTCCAGATTGCAAAAGCCGTGTGAAATCATTTAACGGAAACTCTGTTGGGATGGTATGTATGTACCTCTTTTTTGACACAAAATTTTTAGCAGATTGGGTATGATGGGGCAGTGGCAGTGTTGGGGTGAGCAGGACGGACGATATTTACTGGATGGGATATCCGGACGTCAGGAGACGAGGAAAGGAGAGGAAGGAAAAGGAGGCATAAGTGGTGCACTCGTGGGAACAAAGAAGAGCCAATTTGGAGGTTGTGCGAGGAATGGGAAATCAAAAGATTGTCCCGATTTTGCACCGTAGGCAGAGAAGGTGATGAGGTGGCGGAGGATGGATAAGCGATTCCCTCCACGACTCATTGTCGCACTGGTCAGCTCCTGAGTTGAATCCATAACGATCTTCAATCTAAAAATCGTTAACTCTCCCAACGACAAATTGACACTCTCAAACTCACTACGGCGAATATACTCACTTGCCGAGAAGGACGCGTTTGCGAAGTTTATGAACCTAGGAAATTTTCAACTCGACTACAACTATTCTTTTTTTGTATGTACATATTCGTTTTCTTACATATGTATCCTCGATAAGTTTACCAATATGATCCAATGATGCATATGTACATATATCAACATATTACAGTAATTGTAATATTCTACAGTTTACTATCAACTATGGATTAAATTATGTAAGTAGTTGACAAATCCATTTTCTAGGAATTGACTACTACCTTATTTGAACTCGGTTATAGTTGGAATTAAAAATTTTCAAGCGCCTGATACTTGAAATCTTCTGAGATTAGTAATGTTTGTTCTGGCTGAGAAACAAAGCTACTCTGCCCTTGTGGCCTACGAGATAAGGAACGTACAACACCTCACTTCCTGTTCAGAGGTTTCATTAATTGCTTTCAGCTTATGACAAAATATAAATATGTGCATACAAAAGAAGTCTTCTTAATGTAACCCGTTAAAATCAGAGGCAAATTTATATTTTTTTACCTGATCCAATTATCAAAAGAACAACGGGGAGTGTTCTTCTCATTTTCCCTCGCTTGAGATCACAGTTCCAAAATGTTGGTTTCATTCACTTTAATTCTTGCGTATGAACAGCATTGTCAAGGGTTCAGTCAGAGACAAGTGAAACTATTATTTGTCGATCTATACATCTTAGAACACCATCATTTGACATCTTCATTAATGCTTTTACTAAATACAATTCACTTTAGTTGCCACATATCGTTCAACTCTTGTAAATCTTCACCAGTCTCATGTTACCCATTTTTTACCATCATCTCACACGTTTTCTTCTCACCAAGCAGAATTTTAACGGCATTTTGAGTTATTTTCAAAAGCACGCATACACACATTTATGTATGTCCTTCTAATCCTAAGTATGGCACCAATTTCTAGACAGACGAGGTATGTGTTGTTGCAGATGTGTATACAAGTATGAGAGTCAATTGACTTTGATGGGGTAAAGGGCCACTTGATTCAAAGTAAATTAACAAATCAAGCTCCCATCGACAGGAAGGAAAGATTGTTCTTCCAACTGTTCCAACCACTGCACACGCTTTCTCGGCTCGCTTTCTCTTTGTCTCCTCAAGAGTCTCGTTGCAAATGTGGACTGACTCTCTCTCTTCTTTATCCAAGTTCTGACGACTTAAGCCCGTTTGGGAAGGTTGGTGGTCGTCGTGGTGGTGGTGGTGATGTGTTGAAAGTGAAAGTCAGCAGAGCACTGAGTACTTGCTTCCCCTCCTCGTGGATATTTTATCAAGATCTCCTCCGACATGGTAAAGAAATTGGAATATCTACTTCTTCTTCTTCTTCTCTGCCAGTTTGGTCATCACTATACCTGCGTATTTCTCCCTTTGTCGTATTTACCGGTTACACACTCGAACGGAATGCAATGTTACTTCTGGTTTTAAAAATCCAGACAGTCTGGTGGTTTCAAACAATATTTTTGTAATCGAACCCGCCTTCATTAAAGTTTATTAGATAAGATTTACGGAGTAATTAAACATATGAATAACTTTTTAGCTTTATTTGTTACTCCTTCAGAATGATAATCCAATTGACGAGGAAAGAAATATCTACATGTTGAAGAAAGTTTCCAGCAGTATAAAGTTTTGACGATATCGTTTGCTCAATATTCCGTATGTATTTAGCTTCCGTGTCGAAGGACCATAAGCATAAAGACATTTGTTTACTTGACCAACTATGTATAAAGCTAAAAATCACCAGAATATAATTGAGGGACAAGAGCAAACACTTTTCACCATAAATTTACCCGTTTGCATATCATAATTATGATACCTACGTATATGTTCTTGATTACATTGCATATTAATATGTTGAAAATGAAAATGTCATCAAGAACGCATTCAATATAATTCATAAAGTGATTGTGGGTTATCCTCCCCATAAACTTACGTTCTTGGCTAAATCATAAATGAGAAGGAAATGTATATTTTACATATGGTGTACTGTGGAGGACGAGAGTATCTACCACAAAGAATTTTCGGGATAATTCCTACCGTAATCTAACAGATTATTACACAATACTACAAAATATTGTTTGAAATAATGTCTAGCACTATTAAAGTAAGAGTCTCACATTATGTATTTTCTGTACGGTTCACGAATACCAATCAAGTGAGTGTAGTAGCAATAATATTTTAACGATACGTTGACATTAAGAGTTTTTCCTCACGGGACCAGGCTCGAGAAAAAGGTCAGTTGTGACAATGAGTTAATCAACTCTCGCATTAATCTTGAGAGAAATTCTCCTAGGCCCCGTACATCATCTCGCATTCAACCCCAGTTGGTCCCCACATACTCCATTTTTCCTCAGCCTATACATAATTATATTTCTCTGCTACCTATAAAATGGAAATAAAAGTTATCAATCTAAAACTTTTACCGGGGCATAATTATTATACAAGACAGTGGCATTTTGTTGTGCAAGTATAAAGTTGAACTAACTTTAATGAAACTTGGTTTATTTTGTTGATGGGGACGACATTGAGAGTAGGAGAGAGAATTGAGCTATATCTATTATTACTTATGATGTTGTATGAAAGTTGGGTAAGTAAACTACAATGCGGTAAGAATAAGGTGTGCAATTTATTTAAATTTCAAAGTTGAGAAGTTTTATTTAAGTTTGGAATAAGAGTGAGAATGGGGAGCAAGATTTATAGCTTGAACTCAAGTCTAACTATTTATTTTAAATTCTCATCTACATCTACAATTCACACCGCAGAGGAGAAACAAGTAGGAAAATGGTCGTATCTCGTATAGCCCGAGAGTCTCAGGAATCAAGATATCACATTCTTTGCCATCCATAGAAGTTTCTTACTCCTGCACGCCAGTCAAAAAAGTCCCTGCAAGACCACGTTGTGGTGAAATGCAGGTCCGAAATTCATATGACGGTACATGTTTCGTGATAATGTAAAATTATTATTAATTTTATAAAAGCTAAACAAATAGCTCAAAACATACATAATCATACAAAAAAATTGTGAAAAATTTTGAATAAGTAATGTGATTGAATTGCATTCGACATTGTGGGTGAATCTTCCAAACTACCAGGAGACAATCTTGGTGTCCTCGCCGCCACACTTTATAGTGTCATTGTGATGCAAACTAGGTCTTGGAAATGGACATCCATACGCTTTTTCAATTCCAGTCCTTGCGGTTTGCCATTCTCACCTCTGCTCTCCATACGAGACAAGTGACAATGATAATAGACTGGAGACGAGGAGACAACGGGAGAGATGTGGACGTGGATAGGTGGACAGAATATGTATCTAGGTTCAACCACACGGGGACCTTTGTGCTTGGTGGCTGAGGATGAGTGTGTAACGTAACTGGAAAAATCTGAAAAGTTACGTATGGGAGTCGAAAATCTTAGGTCACCATTGCAGGTGACTTTCTCGAGATTAGTCCTGGTCCTATACCAAGCCGTAATATTTCATTTATAAAAAATCCAAATAAATAACTAAATTTAATTTGTTAAATCATACATATTTCACCCAGATTGCTTTGTTAGGAAATAGTGTTTAGTTTTTCTATTCGCATTCCATTCGAAATTTTTATATATTCATTTAATTCCGAAACAAACACAAACACACAATTTTACTTAGTCTTAATTTTTAAGAAAGGTCGGTTGGGTCATTGATGAATTATTTGACGTAGGGCTTTTAAAACTATAACACAACATTTTTATTCCTCTCATGACTCGAAATGAATATTTAATTAATTGACATTGGTTCTATAATGGTTATATTTATGTATGTAATAGTGGTCATGCATGCATGAGCACATAAATGTACAATGCATAGAAAAAAAGAGTCAAAGGAGAAAATTTCCATCAAAATTTTGTTCCTTGTTCCTACATAAGCTCAATTGATTCTAAAAGATGGCCGCAAGCACTGCTACAACCTCGATCCGACAAAAGGCGGTGGTAATGGATATTTTTACCAATTTTGAGTTGCCACCTACCCCTCTGTCACATATTATTATTATTCTTCGTCATACAAGGAAAGGAGACCAGGAGGCAGCAGGGTGAAAGGGGAGCATAACATATTGGACCTCATTGAGAGTCAAAGTTTCAATTTGCTCTGCGAGATCCGCCAGCGAGAAATATAAAATTCTGGAGGGTACATAATGTCCAATTTTCGAGTGATTGGGTCCATATTCAAGAGTTGCATCGCCTTCTTTTCCCCTCGTCACTCGTCGTCTCCTTCGTCTCTTGGTAAAATCCTACACACTTGAACTTTCTGGAGAAATTTTTGTAGTCTGTCCTTTAAATTCACAAGATATATTTTTTTCTTTCACACATATGTAACAGTAGTAAATGTGTGGTTAGCTTATGAGCCTGTACTTATATGTACATGTTAAATTCTTCCTTATGGAATGAAGAAGAAAACACTATACATATGTACATAAAAAAGTAATCACACTATTTAATTAAGCAATGTCTTATACCTACGAAGGTATACGCAAAATGCTGCCACAGCCTATTTATAATTGTGAAATGATCAAAAAATATACATTCAACAACCTAGTAGAAATAGAATGAAATCTATGTATTTACATAAATTTTTTACTACTTTCACTAAATTCTAAAATTTTCCCTGCATGCGTACTTTTTTCTAAAAAATCAACAAAGCTCTCAAAGTTCCCCACAAAATGAGATGGAAATACATCAAGACCCTCATAATCTTGACGTTGTAAAAGTGACCAAAGCTGAGCGACATGGGTTTAGAAGATTTACACATTCTTTTGATAAACTTCTTGTCTCGTTGTTCACCCCATGGGGTTTTCCTCCAGTAGTCAACAAGGCCAGCACTTTTCTTCAACATTAATCCCGCAATGTAGAGGGCAACCGTCCACTGGAATAAAATTGACCCCGACGCCATACAAATGATCAGTTTTACCACGCTATGTATGCAAAATCTAGAGAAACATTTAGACGCAAAATATATTTGGTTAATACTTACATACTGGTAGATCACATTTATAGTTGAATAAAAAATAATGTTTGCTTTTTACCTTGTCACTGCAAAAATTGAAATGATGATGCAAAATGTTTGTACAACGTATAAAGGCGTTAGCATAGCAGAAAAACTTTCATTTAACTTTTGCACAATCAGTTGGCATGATCTGTACATATGGAAAATGTTGCCTGGTGTCCTCAGGTCAGCGGTTGTATTAGAGCGCAGTTTACTTGAATTATTCGGCCTAAAAATTATATAAATACATACGAACAGGTTTCTAATACAAAGTTTCGATTAAATTTTGAATGTGACCATTATTCAGCATACGTTAATTCAGTGAATATTTGTCGCCCTGTAATAATCGTTGGTAAAAAGCAGATTGACACTATTGTTAGCCCTGGAATACTAGCCATGAAGTATAAATTGAACAGCAAGAGTCCGAATGGGAAATAGAGAATTATAAACAGCCCAACGGGCAAAGGCATAGGAATTCCCTACGATTTCGAGATAAAAAAGCCTCTCGATTCTAAGCGAGGGTAGCTCGAAAAGATCTCGAATTTACAGTTAAATGTCCAGCGAGACCTAAGGAAATCCTCTCGATTATTCGGAGATATTGGCGACACGATTTCCAGCATTAATCGACGAGATTTCGTATTTGCCTGAATATCGAATTCCTCTCGAATTTTATGCGATTTCATTGGGATTAAAAAAGTAGCATACAAAATACATTGCATTGTTTGTGTCTTAATTTATTTTACAACAAATAACTACCAATACAATTTGTATCAAAAAATTAATAAGTTAATGATATAATTTATAATTTTATCTTCACTCAGGATTGCCAGGTTGAGCAGCTACATTTCTAAATAATAATAAAATAGTCCATACATTATACAACGATTCAATTTGATATATATTCATAGAAATATATATATTAATTTAATGTTTCTGTACTTACCTCCTTTGTCTAACTCGATCATGGGCTTGCTTCAAAACAGTCGGAAGCACTTCATAATACTTAATCAAGGTTGCTTCTCCAGATGTCCGTGGATTTCTCATCAGTGCATCTAATAATTAATTAAGCAATTCACATAATTAGACGCGCTCATAATTAGCTTTAAATGACCCCGCTCGATAAAAAATTCATACGAAAGGGTCTGATTAATGAACTCAAACCATAATACGATATTTTTATTTTCACTTACCAAAAATCGAATTCACAAGAAGAGCATGATCGGCCAGCGACA